GGACTTCTACAGGGGCCATGGCTTATAAATTGCAGAGCCAGGACTTAAACCTGGGTCTCGTGACTTTAATTCCAGTAATCTTTTAAAAAATTGCCCTACCTTTTGAAACCTCACAGTGATCCTGCATTTATTATAGAGTCATTCAGTTGATTCATAATTAATGCTTCAATATAATTAGTTGCTCATAAATTATTAGGTTCCCTGAGCCTCTGGGGCATTGGTAAAATGTGATCACTGTGTCTTTCTCTCTGTTGTATTCATTTGTTGTCCACGATGGATAGAATGGTGCTATCTGAGCTGTCATAATGTTGGCCTCATCCCTAGCTTTATATTGCAGCATGTCTGAGGCATTGGTTTTTCATCCTTCCAAACTTTTGGTCTACAGAGACTATTAGAAGATTAAGGTGTGTTTGCTCACCTTATTCAAAAGTTGAGCATGTTTCTTGTTTTGGACCTGTTTTCCCATAGTTTAAAATGGTATAGGTTTTAAAATGTGCTAATTATTATGGTGAGTGTAGATATACAGAATGACCATTGAGGGGATCAATAAGGGTAAAAAGAGGAAAGACTTGTGGAGAACCTATAGGAAAGGGCTGCAAGGAACCTGGAAAGTAGTATGGAAACCTTAGGTAAGTTCAGAAGGAAGTGATTAAGAAAGCACAAAATTGTGTTCTGTGAGTGTAGTTGAAGGTCCTGGAAATGTTTGACATTGAGAAAATAGATTTGGGGGGTCTCAAAAGAGTATTTCAGGTATTTAAAGTTCTGTCTGGGGAAGAGATAGTGGTCTTTTCTGAATAGCTCTAAGATACAGGATTTAGTACTAACAGATGGAACTTTTTTCTTTGTTTATTCATTCGTTTGTTTATTCAATAAATCTTTATTGATTACCTATTCTGTGCCAGGCCTGGTGTTGCGGATCGAGAAATACATAGGACATGAACTTTGTTCTTGAGGTGTTTATAGTCTAAGTCTAGCAGGGGAGGGGTGAAAGGGAAAGCAAATATGTAAACAAATTATTGCAATGCAGTGTAAGACAGAGCTTATTATAAGTGATAACTCATTAAATGAGATGACTGAAGATAGAATAGATAGTCTTTGGAGATTTTAGATTTCCTGTCATTGCAACTTTTCAAGCATAGGCTGGATGACTTCTAGGCTGGAATGCAGTAAAAGAATTCAAATATTAGATTCCAATGCATATTTTAGGTTTTAAGGAATAATGGAATCTCTTTGAAAGTGAATATCTACCACAGAATTCTCCAAACACAGTAAAAGCACTGAGAAATGGAGAAAAGTCTGTATCAGGAAAGTTGGTGAAAACTTTCTTGGCATAATCGTGGGCTGTGGGCCTGAAATGGAGTTACATTCAATGAAACTGTTGATTGAAGGACCTGGGAGTCAAGGAAGGGCTTTACTCGGGTATCAGATGACTGCAGGGAGTGTAATTTTGGAACTGGCAGCCTGGAGTGGGAAGGTACACTTGAGAACTGAGACAGTAAAAGTTCTCTTGTGGGTGCTTAGGGACTTGAGTTATAGTTGGGAGGGAAAACAAAGGTAAATCTGGGAAGACAAACTGGAAGAAATGGATAAAAAGCACATCACAGAGTTAATCTGCATTAACAAGATTGTCCTTGCTTGATTGATTTCTTTTGTTCAAAAATAGAAGGAGCGGTTGGTTTGCCAAAGGTGGGTCAGAATGAATTATGCAAAGAAGTGGGGTTAGGGTTTGGCCTTGATGGATGAGTAAGATTTTTATCAGTCAGAGAAAGGAGAAATCATTGACAGAAAGCACATTGGGGTGTGTGTTTGTGTGTGTGTCTGTGTGTGTGTATAAGTAAATAAGTAAGAATACTTGGCAAGTACAGTGGAACAGATTTCTGAGGTTTGAATTAGTTTGAATTAGGCTGTGTCTAGGTGTAGTGGCTTAGTTGATAAGGCAGGTCAATGTCAGAAAGTAAAGCACCTTGAATTTTATCTGTACTAAACTTCCTAAAGGCAAGGTATATATCTTTATGCAAAGTGTGATTAATTAAAATATTTGAGTTCACTGTGAGCTAGATACTATCTAAAGTATTGTTGGATTGCAAAGATGACAAAATTGGGCCCAATATTTGAGGAACATTCTGGCTCCTAGGGAAGACATACCTGTAAACAATTACAATAGCAATAATAAAAGGGATAACCTAGAAAGTTAGCCATTGCTTTGGGAACATGGAGGAGGGGGCACCTAACTTCTTGAAGTGATGACACATTTCCAAATGGGTTCATGGAAGAAATAACAATTGAATTAAGCCTTGAAGGATGAGTGAATTCACAGTTGAAGCATAGGGAAATTGGTATTCTAGGCAGAAGGATCAGCATGCACAAAAGCATAGAAGTGTAAAAGCTATGGGATACTTGAAGAAGTTGGAGAAGTTGGATGTAGATAGAGTGTAAGGGAAATTAGAGGGAGTGGTAGTGGTGAGAAATGAGGCTGGGTGCATTTGGTCAAATAACAGAGGGCCTCTAAAAGCAAGCTAAAAACATCAGCTTTTATCCTGAGATGTCAATGAAGGGTTTTTCATTTTGTTTTGTTTTCGGGACGGAGTCTCGCTCTGTTGCCAGGCTAGAGTGTAGTGGCGCGATCTTGGCTTACTGCAACCTCCACCTCCCAGGTTCAAGCGATTCTCCTCCTTCAGCCTCCTGAGTAGCTGGGACTACAGGTGCGTGCCACCATGCCCAGCTAATTTTTTGCATTTTAGTAGAGACAGGGTTTTACCATATTGGCCAGGAGTCTCAATCTCTTGACCTCATGATCTGCCCACCTTGGCCTCCCAAAGTGCTGGGATTATAGGCGTGAGCCACTGTGCCCAGCCAATGAAGGGTTTTAAAAGTAGAAGAGTAGTGTGTTCTAAGGTTCCTGACAGCCCCTGGATAAAGGATTGCGGAAAAAAACTGGATGTGGGGGAATCAGTTCTTTATTAGAAATCGTTTAAAAAACAAACAAACAAAAAAAAACAAAAAAAAAACTCCTATAGATTTTATTCATAGTATTTTAGGTCATTGATGTCTAAAGCGATAGTATTCAAATCTGACTGGCATTGGGATCACTAATTTTCAAAATACAGAATTAGGCCTTAACTCAGCCATTCTAAATCAAGATTTATGGGGGCCAAGCCAGGATATCTATATTTCTAAAAGCTCTTGGTGATTATTGTGCTGGTTTTTTAAACTCATTACTCTCTAAAGTACTGTTGTGTTTAACTCCAAAGAGCTTATATTTTAAATAGTCATGGTTAAATGTATAATTTCTACTGCAGCATGGAAGACTAATGAGAAATATTTTTAACTCTGGATACATTCATATCTATCCATTGTCAAGGACATTTATTTATTTTAAGGTAATAACATATTTTCATTAAAACTATTGATAACATGTGATAGGGATTCCCCCCCCATCTTCCTTTCTTTTCTTTTCTTTTCTTTTTCTTTTTCTTTTTCTTTTTCTTTTTCTTTTCTTTCGAGACAGAGTCTCCCTCTGTCACCCAGGCTGGAATGCAGTGGTGCAATCTTGGCTCACTGCAGCCTCTGCCTCCCAAGTTCAGGTGATTCTCCTACCTCAGCCTCCTTAGCAGCTGGGATTACAAGCACCTGCCACAATGCCTGGCTAATTTTTGTATTTTTAGTAGAGAGGGGGTTTCATCATATTGGCCAGGCTGGTCTCAAACTCCTGACCTCAAGCGATCCGCCCACCTTGACCTCCCAAAGTGCTGGGATTACAGGCATGAGCCACCGTGCTTGTCCTATCCCCTATCTTTTAGATTTTATTCTACTGTTTCTCAGAAGTAGTGGAGATTTTGCCAGTAAATTCTGTACCATATTAGGACAGGATGGTTACTGCATTGACCATTTTATGTTTTGAAGAAGAAAGCCAAGCACGGTGGCTCTCGCCTGTAATTCCAGCTGCTTGGGAGACTGAGGCGGGAGGATTGATTGAGACTTGGAGTTTGAGACCCACCTGGGCAACATAGGGAGACTCTTGTCTCTAAAAAATTTTTTTAAAAATTAGACGGGCATGGTGGCGCATGCCTGTAGTTCCTGCTACTCTGGAGGCTGAGTGGGGAGGATCTCTTGAGCCCTAGAGTTTGAGGCTGCAGTGAGCTATGATTGTACCACTGCACTTCAGCCTGGGTAACAGAGCAATAATCCTCTCTCTCTCTCTCTCTCTCTCTCTCTCTCTGTGTGTGTGTGTGTGTGTGTGTCTGTCTGTCTCTCTCTTCTTTGTAAAGAACAAGGTAGAATTTTAGAGGAGGGAGACACTGAAGAGATTATATAGTCTCAGGGGTTAGCAAACTTTTGCTGTGAAGGGCAAAATAGTAAATATTTTAGGTCTGTGGACATACAGTCTCTGTTGCAACTACTAAATTCTGCCAGTATCGGGTAAAAAAAAAAAAAAGCCATAGACAATTTATAAATGAAGGGTGTGACTGTGTTCCAATAAAACTATCTACAAAAACAGCAACTTTGCTGACCCTTGATACAGTCCATTCCCGAGAGGGAAAGTGTAACTTGTCTAAGGTTATAAAATTAGAGGCTGGCAGAAAACTCACTATGTGGAATGCTGTTAGCAATTTTATTTAATCTTCACATAGATGAAAAAATGAAACCTAAGAGGTTAAAGAATTTCTCTAAAGTTAGTAAGTGGTACTGGGATTCACACTTAGTTTTTGCTAGACCAAATATCTGCTTTCAGCTACATCGTAATGGTTTTCCATGCTCTTCAATGTCCCAGAATGGGAATGCAAAGAAAAGCAAGACATTGTGATTTTTCATTAGTGCTTGGCACATAGTAGGCATTTACATCAGTGAGTGTTAGCAATATCGTGGCATGCAGTGGAAGGACTTGAGCTGAACCCTGAAGGAAGGGCTGTATAATTTTGATTCTTTGCAATTTTTTAACATGTATTTCCTTTTGGTCAACAATAATAAAGGAGTTATATTTTTCTTATTTCTGATTCTAGTAGCTGCTGCTGGTGGTGACAATGTCAAATAACGGCCTAGACATTCAAGACAAACCCCCAGCCCCTCCGATGAGAAATACCAGCACTATGATTGGAGCTGGCAGCAAAGATGCTGGAACCCTAAACCATGGTTCTAAACCTCTGCCTCCAAACCCAGAGGAGAAGAAAAAGAAGGACCGATTTTACCGATCCATCTTACCTGGAGATAAAAGTACAGTATTTGATTTTATTCTCATCATTTGTATGCTTTAAAAAAATTATTTTGGGTAACCTGGATAAAAGATCTGTCGTCTTTGACTTAATTTTCCTTTAATGCTTTTTTTTTCTGGTTAAATATTTCTCTTTCTTCCGACAGTGGCTGAAACCAAATGGAAAATAGACCTATTTTTATACTGTATTAACTATATCTGAGCAAAACTGTAAGAGAATAATTATGCTCTTGCCAGATTTGGGACAATCTGAAGTGATTTATTTATTTTTAAGTTCTTAAACTGTTTAGGAAGTCACAAAATGTAAGAAAAATTGGAATGTCTTTATTTGGAATTTTTTTCCCCTGAATTAGTTTCAATTGGAAATGTTTTCTTTCCAAAATCTTGATTGCCTTTTCTTTATTCCGACTTCCTGGTCCCACTTTCAGGTTTGGGGACTACATATCAGTAAGAATGGCAAGTAACAGCTGAGAAAAGGATGCGGAGATAACTAGCATTTAGCATGAGTTTACTATGAATAAATTATCCTGGGCAGCCTCATTTCCTTTTTATTGATAAAACTTCTATTAATAGAAGAATAATCATAGGATGAATAGTGTTGATTTTAACACTGTTAATTTAACAGTGTATATGAAAAAGTCGCCAAGATCCTTGTAGACAAGGTTGTAAAATAAAGGTTTTGCTATCCACAACAGAAGATCACTTTTGTTTGATACCAAAAATGTTGACTTAAGTGGCTGTTGCTCTGAAGTAAAGTTCTCTCTCCGTATGTTTGTGGGCCCTGTTCTTATAGCGTGCTAAAGATACTGGCTTTCTCTGTGTAAGTAGTTATCATGAGCTTCTAGTTTAGATGTAGCTGGGTCACCACTTACCAGCTTTCTCATCTTAGGCATGTCAGTTAACTGCTTTGACCTTTATTTAGTTTCCTATTTCAGAAGTGAGATATCATTTCACAGGGTAGTTGTGAAGACTACATACAAAGTTCCTAATAGAGTAACTTCCACACAGAAGGTACTTAAATGTTAGTTCTCTGTCTCTTTACTCCTTTGTCTCTGTCTCTTTACTCCTTTGTCGATGAATAGAAACTGGGAGACATAGCTAGTAGACTACATGGTAAAATCAGAGCTGAGATTCTGAAACAGTAGGGCAGATACAACAAGCACAATGGTGGATTGCAGAAAACATCTCATGTTGTAGAAAAAATATAATTGCCTAACTGCAGATCAGGGGAGATGGTAGATGGTAGTGTCATTAGCCAAATAGGAAACACAGAAAGAAGGAACAAATTGGGAGCGTTGGTGATTGGAGAGCAGGGAAGATGATGATTTCGGACATATAGCTTTTATATATAGATACATCTTATGAGCAGACTTCATGTATTGTAATGTTTGTTGTAAAAGTGAAATGAGACATAATGAGTACTTTTAATGAGTACGTTGGGCTTATATCTTTTTGTGTATGAATCCTTCTACTCCACCTTCCCTTCCCTGTGGGTTTGGGGGTTTGGGTAGAAAAGAAGGCCAGGCACAGGGGCTCATGCCTGTAATCCCAACACTTTGGGAGGCTGAGGTGGGAGGATCGCTTGAGCTCAGGAGTTTGAGACCAGCCTGGGCAAAATAGCAAGACCTTGTCTCTACTAAAAAAAAAAAAAAAAAAAAGATCAGGCATGGTGGTGTGTGCCTGTAGTAACAGCTGCTTGGGAGGCTGAGGCAGGAGGATTGCTTGAACCTGGGAATTTGAAGCTGCAGTGAGCTATGATCATACCACTGCACTCCAGCCTGTGTGACAGAGTGAGATCCTGTCTTAAAAAAAAATAAAATAGGCCGGGCGTGGTGGCTCACGCCTGTAATCCCAGCACTTTGGGAGGCTTAGGTGGGTGGATTACCTGAAGTCAGGAGTTCAAGATCAGCCTGGCCAACATGGTGAAACCCCATCTCTACTAAAATACAAAAAATTAGCCGGGCATGGTGTGGGCGCCTGTAATCCCAGCTACTCAGGCGGCTGAGGCCAGGAGTATCACTTGAACCCGGGAGGCAGAGGTTGCCGTGAGCCAAGGTCACGCCATTGCACTTCGGCCTAGGCAACAAGAGTTAAACTCCATCTCAAAAAAATAAATAAATAAAATAAAAGATGTGGATAAGTTGCTTAACTTTGATTTCCTGACTAATTCATTCATATAGTAGCTGCCAACTTCCTTGGTACAAGGGCTATGATCTGAGGCAGTGTTAAATGCCCTGCAATCTTCTTCCACATATATAGCCACTTTCTTTATCCCTCAATTTAGATGTGTATTTATTTTTAATATTGTATCTTATCAACCAGTATTCTTGATCTCTATAAATAAATAGGCTTTCAGCCCAAGTGTCTACATGTAGTAAAAGAGAACTTTTTAAATTAAAAAGTTTAAATTGTTCTTGCTGACTCAAACTAGAAGGGTAATAAAATTCTCATCCAGTAGGCATCATCAAAAGTAAAAACATTTATGTTTCAAAGGGCATCATCCAGAAAGCAAAAAGGTAACCCACAGTAGGGAGAAAATTTTCCCAAATTACATATTTTATAATGGATGTGTATCTAAAATATGTGAAGAAGAACTATTGCAAGTCAACAACCAAAAGACAAGTAATTTTAAAATGGGCAAAATATGTAAATAGACATATCTCCAAAGAACATATACAAATGGCCAAGAAGCACATGAAAGGATGCTCAAATCATTAGCCATCAGGGAAATGCAAATCAAAACCACAATGAGATACCACTTCACACTCACTAGGATGGCTATAATAAAAAAGATAATAACAAGTGTTAGTGAGGATGTGGAGAAGTTGCAACCCTCATAATTGCTGGTGGGAATGTAAAATGGTGCAGCCTCTGTGGAAAACAGTCTGGCAGTTCCTCAAAAGGTTAAACATAGAGTTACCAGCAGTACATGAATGTTTATAGCAGCATTCATAATATCCAAAAAGTGGAAACAACCCAAATACCCCATCAGCTGATGAATAGATAAATAATAAAATGTGGAATATCCATACGATGAAATATTTGGTAACAAAGACATGAAGTTCTGATCCATGCCATGACATGGATGAACCTTGAATGCTGCGTTAAGTGAAAGAAGCCAGTTAAAAGGATCACATGTAATATGATTTTATTTGTAGGAAATGTCCAGCATTGGTAAATTCATAGAAAGAAAGTAGATTAGTGGTTGCCTAGGGCTGCAGAGAGGGAGAGGCAATTAAAACTAGGAGATGATTACTAAGAGGGGTGGGGTTTCTTTTTGTAGTGATGAAATGTTCTAAAATTGATTTTGGTGATACCTGTCCAGCTCTCTGAATATATTAAAAGCCATTGAATTTTACACTATATGAGTGAATTGTTTGGTAAGTGAATTATCTCTCAATAAAGCTGATTTTTAAAAAAGAAGATTCCTGTCTGAAACAGCAGATGGAAGCAGAGCCTTCGGACATCATTGGGACCTGAAGGGACAATCTTATGTGCTAAATGGGAAAGTGGGGGTCTAGATATTGGGATTATAGTCTTGGTTCTTCCATAAATTGGCTGGCTGATTTGGGTCAATTATTTCTCTGTAGACGTCAGTGCCTTCATCTAGAAGAGGAGAGAGAGCAGTAGGCATGTGCAGTTTCTTTTAGCTTTAGAATCCTATAATTACATAAATGAGAGATTGCAAAGGCGTGGTTAGATCAGGCTTGTCTATATAGGTGAGAAGAAACTAGGCCATTGTAAAGTACTTTATTCAGTGATGCAGCTCTAGAAAATCCTAGCTGAGTAACCCTAGGCTAAATCTGATCTGAAAATACATCTCATAACCTCAAGATCAAAACTGCATCTCTGTAGGTTGAGGGCATAGAGGTAGGAAACATACAGAGTTATAAGAATTTCTCGCAAGATGATCTAACAATCTTTCATCCTTTGGGTATAGATTTTCTATATTTGCCCTGGGCACATAGGTTTCATCCCTTTGCTTTAAGACCCTTGATGGCTATAATTAATGCATACATCAAAATGAAAGAAGTCTGAGGTGTTTTTCTTTTGTTTGAAACCTTTGATCAACCAGTAAGCTACTCAACTTAGTCCTAGAAGGATACACAGCAGTGTTGGTAGTCTTTGAAGTGGTATGCCCTTCATGTAGTATTTGAGCATTTATACCAGCTGCATAGAGTTATGTCTAGAACTGGACTTGTAACACAGATTGAGTCCAGCCACTGACATTTGTTAACTCTGATTTATTTTTTAAATTTCATTTCAATATCCTTACTTCCCATTCACCCTGTATCATTAGTAGGCTTTTGTCATTTGACATAGTAGATATAAAAGCATTTTCTAAACTAAAATGCAATACAAATAGGAGGTTTGTTTTTCAAAAATGGAAACCTCATTTATTGTTTTATTTGATACCTACATCAACTCATTTTTAGTTGGGGAGGCTAAGGCTTAGAGAAAAGTAAGTTGCTCAAGGTCTCACAAGTGGCAAGTGGGAGGGCTGAGTATGGAACTAAGTCTTCCTAAATTATCTGTTCCATTGTCACATAACTGTATCTCTTAGTTCTCAACCCTGATTACACATTGGACTCACTTATGGTGCTTTTAAAAAATACAGGGCAGGGTGCAGTGGCTCATGCCTGTGATCCCAGAAGTTTGGGAGGCCAAGGCGGGCGGATCACTTGAAGTCAGGAGTTCTAGACCAACCTGGCCAACATGGCGAAACCCTGTCTCTACTAAAAATACAAAAATTAGCCGGTTGTGGTGGTGGGCACCTGTAATCCCAACTACTCGGGAGGCTGAGGCAGGAGAATCGTTTGAATCTGGGAGGCAGAGGTTGCAATGAGCCAAGATCATGCCACTGCACTCCAGCCTGGGTAACAGAGTGAAACTCCTTTACAAAAAAAAAAAAAAAAAAAGTGGCCGGGCGTGGTGGCCCACACCTGTAACCCCAGCACTTTGGGAGGCCAAGGCAGGCGGATCACTTGAGGTCAGGAGTTCG